CTCAAAAATCAAGAAGGCCAGAGATGTAACTCAGTGCTAGAGCACTCCTGGGTTCAATCCCCAGAACTGGGGGAGGGGGTTAATCTTTACAACCAAACTGTAAATTCTATGACGACAGAGATACATTTGCTTTCTGCCTTGTGTGGACTCTACAGTGCTAAGGACTGTTCCCGGCAGAGTAGGCTCTTGATATACAGAAATGGTTCTGCAACATTAAGCCTTGAAAAAAGCCTCCTAATACAAATTCATTTTTAATTCAACACCACAAAATCAATACTCTTCCTTGCACATGAAGAAATAAACTGAATCTCAAGTTATTTAGCTAAGGTCACTCTGTACAAAAAGATGTAATAGAGTTCAAAATCAGCTGTCTGACCCCAAAAAGTTTATTCTCTACCCTCTCTTTCCCCAGATCCTTCTCAGATGCCACCCAGTTTTCTAGGGAAATTGCTAGAATACCTGAATACCTAGAATACCCAGAATACTGAGGCCTAAGAAGATCCCTACTATTCTTGACTCTCCCACATTCTGACCCCAGGGATTAGTTAATAGAGGAAAAAAATCTGTGGCTCTGCAGCACCCTCTGCTGTCCAGTCACTTTCTTGGTCCCAGAAGAGGCTGCCTATAGTCAGCCATCCCTTGTAATCCCACATGGCGTGGAGAACACAGAGGTCCAAGAGAACACACATGTTCTTTGTAAGGCAGGACAAAGGAATGCTGTCTTTCCCTAATTCCTCAATTGTCCAGGCCTATGTCATAGGTCCTGTAAAATACATTGAGATTAAGCTGTAAGCAAATGATGTGTATCTTTGCATGACTTAGATTTCTGTTTGTTGAGCTGTTTTTACTTTGACGTATAACTTTCACTGAGGGCTATAAAAGTGATCCCTGTATTGGTCGTGGTAACTCATACCTGTAATTCCAGCAATTTGGGAGACTGAGGTAGGAGGATCACAAGTTCGAGGCTAACCTCAGCAATTTAGTGAGGCCTTGAGCACCTTAGTGAGCCTCTGTCTCAAAACACAAAATTAAAGGGACATGGGAGGCTACGTGTGGTGGCACACGCCTGTAATCCCAGCTGCTCAGAAGGCTGAGACAGGAGGACTGAGAGTTCAAAGCCAACCTCAGCAACAGCAAGGTGCTAAGCAACTCAGTGAGACCCTGTCTCTAAATAAAATACAAAAATAGGGCTGGGGATATGGCTCAGTGGTTGAGTGCCCTTGAGTTCAATCCCCAGTACCCCCCCAAAAAATAAAATAAAATAAAAGAGCATGCTACAGGGACACTGCTACATCGATGTTCATAGCAGCTCAATTCACAATAGCAAGACTGTGGAACCAACCCAGATGCCCTTCAATAGACGAATGGATTAAAAAAATGTGGCATTTATACACAATGGAGTATTACTCTGCATTAAAAAATGACAAAATCATAGAATTTGCAGGGAAATGGATGGCACTAGAGCAGATTATGCTAAGTGAAGCTAGCCAATCCCTAAAAAACAAATGCCAAATGTCTTCTTTGATATAAGGAGAGTAACTAAGAACAGAGTAGGGACGAAGAGCAGGAGAAGAAGATTAACATTAAACAGAGATGAGAGGTGGGAGGGAAAGGGAGAGAAAAGGGAAATTGCATGGAAATGGAAGGAGACCCTCAGGGTTATACAAAAGAACATACTAGAGGAAATGAGGGGAAAGGGAAAAATAATACAAGGGGGAGAAATGAAGGTCAGTAGAGGGGGTAGAGAGAGAAGAGGGGAGGGGAGGGGAGGGGAGGGGGGATAGTAGAGGATAGGAAAGGTAGCAGAACACGACAGTCACTAGTATGGCAATATGTAAATCAATGGATGTGTAATTGATGTGATTCTGCAATCTGTATATGGGCTAAAAATGGGAGTTCATAACCCACTTGAAGCAAAGTGTGAAAGATGATATATCAAGAACTATGTAATGTTTTGAACCAAACAATAAAAAAAAAAAGAAAAAGAAAATAAAAGGGCATGGGGTTATAGCTCAGTAGCAAAGCACCCCTGAGTTCATTCCTCAGTACCCAAACAAACAAAAAGTGATCTCTGCAGTGGTAGAGTCTTAGTTATAAGGCTTATGAAGACAGATTTAGAGGATCTAAAAACTGTGTATGTGTGAGTGTGTGTGTGTGTGTGTGTGTGTGTGTGTTGCTACCGGCCTCTCAAATGCTAAGCAAGCAGTTTATCACTAATCCACATCCCCAGCTCTTAGAGGGTCTAAAGAAGTTCTGAGGTTCATTTAGTCATTCCAACAATGGGCAAGGCTTTGAGCTGCAATCAATGAGACACAAACCCTGCCCTTCTGGACTTTGTGGCTGCTCTAGTTGAAGTCCTAATCACGCCACTGCTTGGATATATAACCAAGTACAAATAATTTAACATCTCTGAACAGCCAGGTGTGCTTGTATGCACCTGTAGTCTCAGTTACTCAGGAGACTGAGGCAGAAGAATTAGGAGTTTAAGACCACCTGGGCAACATAGCAAGAGGTTGTCTTTAAAATAATAATAATTAAACAGCTCTGAACCTATGTTTCATTTGTAAAAGTAGGTTAGTCATAATCCACCGTTGACAGAGCTCTTGGGATTAAATAAAAATTTACACACAGAGGTGGTTGATAAATTCTAAAGCATTATAGAAATATTAACTGTTTTTATAAAAAGATTCTTAGGAAAAAAATTGTGTTAACTTACCATTAGGTGTATTTTGTTGACCCTCAATTAATGCCACTGTAAGAAAATGGGTTGCTGAGCTTGATGGTGCATGCCTGTAATCCCAGCTACTCCAGAACCTGAGGCAGAAGGATCCCAAGTTTGAGACCAGTCTCAGCAACTTAGTGACTCTTTCTCAAAAATAAAATTTAAAAAGGTCAGGAGAGGCTGGGAATGTGATTCAGTGGTAGAGTACTTGACTGGCATGCTTGAGGCCCTGGGTTCCATCCCTAGCTTTGCAAAAATAAATGTGTAAATAAGAATAATACAAGTCTGGAGTTGTAGCTCAGAGAAGAGCACTTGATTAGTTTACACAAGGCCCTGGGCATTCTGGTACTGAAAAAAGAAGGGAATGGGTCACTTGCCCCCCCTTCTTCCCTTTCTCTGTCAGCACACAGAATCAGAAAGGCCAAGGAAAGAACTATGGATGTGCAGTACAGCTTTCCGTTCCTAGATATGCCACTAACTGGCACGGTGTCCTTGAAAATGTCACGATCCTTTTAGGGTTTTCATTCCCTTATCTGTTAAAGAGATGTCTAGATTATGGGCCAAAAGGTGTCATTCTGACATTGTAGAGATTCTCCTGGGGGCTTGCCCTCTAGACCCCTTCTCTCCCATACTCCTTACATCTCCACTGACTTTCCACAGCAGACTTATTTGTAGAGCCACCCATAAAGCAAGGAACGTTTTTAGCAACCATCAACCATCATTTCCTACATACACTCAGTGATCTTGGACATCAAACGTTGACAGTGGGGCATTGAAAAGAAAAGAAGCCAAGAGACGGTCTATACAAGTAGGGCCAGGTTGCCTGGTGAAGTGGGAAGCACATCGGCGATGCAGAGGTGATGGAAGAGAGAGCGGGTGGCAGGAGGCAGAAGCTATGGCTTCCTCCAAGAATTCACTCCCTTCCAGATCCCAAGAGGCTGCCTCAGGTGGCCCTGACTCTGGGTTCCCAGTTATTGTGTCCAACAGAGGGAAGGATGTGAGGTATAAGAAAACTGAGAAGAACTAGAAAGACTAATCACAATTTTCATGAAGAGAGGAAGAAAGCAGGGCTTAGGACGATAAAGTAAAGGTGGAAGAAATGGAAGCAAAACTTTATTCACTCTTTCCCCTGCTCTGCACCCCCATGCTATTGTGCCTGTTAACTCTGTAGACAGGAGAAGGAAGACCTAGGTCAGGAAGGGAGACCTGGGTAAGGCCCCAGCTCTGTCAAGAACAACAGTATGCTCCTAAGGAAGTGCCTTCAGTTCTCTGGGCCTAGAGTTACTCCTCTGTCAGAGGTGCTATTATGGTCCTTGAGGCTGAGTACTGGGGGGATCGTGGTGGTTTGATTGGGAAGAGTTGGGGAGTCAGAGTTCTGGGTTCAAGTTTCAATTGAAAATGAGTTGTGTAATCTGGGGTGGGGCATTGTCTCTGATCCTCAGTGTCTGCACCTGAGAGATGAGGATAAGGCTATCCACCATACACGGTTATGGGGCAGAATTCATAGAGATTATGTATAGAATAAACATGTAATAAACTGCCACAGTCTATTCAAAGGCTGATCATGGTTATATTGAGCTCTTTCTTCTATCCTTTCCACTCCCAATCTCAAAATCCAGTTAAGCAGCACGGTGTCAGGGGGGTGCACACAGCCAGAGCAGACTGCCAGGAGATGCAGCCTGGCCCTTATCATGCCTGTTGCAATTGCTGCCAGGAGGCCCAGTGGAGCAGAGGGGTGGAGAGAGGGGCACGGGCTCACCCGTGGTTGCTATGGCACCCCATCCTGGATTTGCCCATCTCTCCTAATGGAGCAAAGGGCAGAGGGAGGAGAGAGAGAACTTCTGGTCCCTTCCCCTCCTCTCTCTCTCTCTCTCTCTCTCTGAAGCAGATGTGGGGTGGGGGTGGGGGGAGACTGGGTACTGGATCAGAGCAAGAGGAAAGAGTGATATGCCAGGATTAAAAGGGTTTGAGATAGGGGCCACACTGAGAGAGCAGGGGCAGGGCCCCCATACCTACATCCAGGAGCCAGCCAGCTGATGACGTTAGAAGGAAGAAAACAAGTGAGACAGTGCCAGAGAGAGAGAGAGAGAGAAACAGAGAGAGAGGGAGAGAGAAACAGAGAGGGAGAGGGAGGGAGGGAGGGAGGGAGGGAGGGGGAGAGAGAGAGAGAGAGAGAGAAGAGAGGAGACCTGGAAGCAGCCAGCCTTTGCCTGGGATCTCCTGAGCAACTAAATCCCCAGGCAGCCTGATCCCCAGGGTCTTGAGAGCGGCCCGAAGAATGGGTACCTGGGCAATGATGATGCCCTCTCTTGCGTGGCGGCTGCTGGGTTGCTGTTTCCTCTGCAGCTGGGCTCTGAGGGATCCGAGGCCCCTCCGTTCTCTTCCTCCACTACCCTCCCAAGCCAAGCCAAGATCTATGCCCATGTGGGTGGCCTCACAGGGGGCTGAGGCAGCCCTGGCTTTTCTTTACTCCGGAGATGCCCAACAGCTATTGGGGGCTAATTGCAGTGAGCGCTATGAAGCTCTTGGAGCAGAAGCCAGACCAGGGCTCCCCCAAGTTCTACAGAGGGCAGCAGGTACTCTTACCCAGGCTGCCAATTTTCTCAACATGCTGCTACAAGCCAATGACATCCGCGAGTCCAGTGTGGAGGAGGATGTGGAGTGGTACCAGGCACTGGTCCGCAGCGTGGCGGAGGGGGACCCAAGGGCCTACCGGGCTTTGCTGATCTTTAACCCTCCACCAGGAGCCAGCCATCTACAGCTGGCCCTCCAGGCCACTAGGATCGGGGAGGAGACCATCCTTCAAGACTTGTCTGGGAACAGGATGCAGGAAGAGAGCTCAGCTGAGGAACCAGACAGCCTTCCCCTGCAGAAACGGGTGCTGACCAATGACCTAAGAAGCCTCAATAGCCCCAAGTGGCCACAGGGGGATGGGTATGTGGGGGACATACAGCAGGTGAGACTGTCTTCTCCCTTCCTGGAATGCCAGGAGGGCCAGCTCCGTCCTGGCTGGCTGATTACACTCTCGGCCACCTTCTATGGACTCAAGCCAGACCTCAGTCCAGAGGTCAGGTAAGTGGGTTTGCATTGGATCTGATGGATTTGTGGGTATGTGGCAGTGGGGACATTAGTCTACCCAGCTGTGCATGGGACATTTGGCAAAAACGTGTGTGTGTCTGGGGGGCATAGATGTGTGTGTTTGCATTCAGCTGTGTGTATTTGCAGCCAGCTCTGTGAATCTATAACTATCTGTTAACACACGCAGGTGTGAGTGTACATACTGAGTATGAATCAGTCCATTTATGCTTCTTTATCTTGGTATTTGTATTTATGTTCTTGATCATATGAATGAATGCCTATGAGCTTGTGCATGTACAGGAGGGTGTGCATGTACAGGAAGGTATGCATATGTAGGAACACATCTAGATGTAGATATACACACTTGGAGGTATAGAGGTGTGTGGATATAGACAGGCATCAGTCTTGACCCTCAGGTCTGAGGAATGGATGTGAAAGGCAGGAGGGGGTGCTGGGGATGTGGCTTGCCTGGCATGTAGAGGCCCTGGGTTAGATCCCCAGTGCTGCAAAGAAATTAAAAAATAAAATAAAAAAAGAAGGCAAGAAAGGGCTTGGCTTAGGTGACAGTGACAATCCATATATGAGGCTTTTCCAAGGAGCCAGGGTGGGCACTCCAGGAGTTAAATCTGCTGTTTGAGTGGAGAGTTATAAGAGAAGGCTTCCCCAGGAGAAAAATTCTTGGGCAGGAGCTTGGAACCAACACCCTTTCTATCTGGGGTGCCAGGGTCATTCCCAAGGCCAATTTTCTTACATTAAGCAGGCCCCAACTGTCCTGCCTGTCCTGACCCAGGAGCTTGTGATACTCCTCCAATAACTGACTGCTCTCTGAGCTAGAGCAAGGGGCTTGGGAGTCATGTTGGGAAGCGGGCAGCAAATGAACACAGTGCTACGAGGCATTCAACAGTTAACATTGCTTTTCTAGCTCAGTGTCCCCCCATTTGTTCTCAGCAGAGTCCCCCTCCTGCAGGAAGGCAGATGGCTCTTTGCCAGCTCTCTCCTCACTCAACCCAGAGCAGGGATTGGGGAATTGCTGGGTCAGGCAGCTCCAGTTTAGGGCTCCTCCTTTTGCTGTGATCAGTTCAGAACTGCTGGGACAGAGTGGGGGTGGGGATAACAGCCTCACTGCTTGTGTATGTGTATACATGCAAAGTGGAATTGTGCAAATCCCCTTCAGACAGATAGATTCTCAGAGGCCCAGCTCCTGCATGTCTGGCATGCCCCCACCCTTTACTCATTGACAGAAATTGTAAAATGATAGGATGTTGAAAAGTGGAGGGGTGGGGGAACAACCCAGTGGAAGGAGTTTGTTGCCACAGAGAACAGAGCACTGGAGAAGTGGAATCCATGTGTGCCCTCTTTCTATGCTGCAGCCATTGTGCTAAAGTTTGCAAAGACTACATTGCCCCACAGTCTAGTACCCAAGTATCCATGCTCACCTTGACATTCATCACTGTGCCCCTAATTGCTAATTCACTGCCCTAGGGGGCAGGTGCAGATGGACATAGATCTCCAGGGCGTGGACATCAATCAGTGTGCAAGTGGCCCAGGCTGGTACTCTAATACACACCTGTGTGATCTCAACAGCACCCAGGTAAGGATAAGGAGGGTGGAGGGCCTCTAGGTCCTGCCTCCCTGCCCTTTGCCCATCACTGCCACCACCCAGCTCCCAGAAGCAGCTGACAAAGCCGACCGAGCATCTCAGGGCTTCAGGGAAGTCCTTAGTGATTAGCAGAGGTGAGATGCCAGTCTTTTATTAAAAGTGAGACCACGTATGACCTATCCCTTTACCTCCCAGCCTTCGCCCCCCCCCCCCCCCCCACCCCCCCCCCCCCCCCCCCAAAACCCCCCTTTTCTCCCCGCCCGCCCCCCCCCCCCCCTGCCCTTTTCCCCCCCCCCCCCCCCCCCCCCCCCCCAGGAAACTATCCCTCATGCCTCTGAAATCTCAGTGTATCTCCCTGCCTGCCCTCCTTCCTGGTGCTCATTGCTCCAGAGCCACTTCTGAGCCTCCATTAATCATCTTCTTTCCTTCCTCTGGATCACATACTGCCTGTCAACACAGCTCTGAAATCCTCATGGCCACAAAGGATACTCCATCTGTGTTTGTCAAAATAAATGGAATTACTGGTTGGGTGACGAGCAATTTGGGACTGGTGTGGGGGATGGACCCCAGGCCAGACCCAGGCAGAGTCAAAGCCACAGGCACAGGTACATCAAGATGATGGACATCACTGGCTGGCAATCGTGCAAGCCCAATACTGGGAGGCCAGGAAGCCAGTGAAGTTATCCACTCTATGGGTTACACCAAGTGCATGATTGTTTCTGAGCTGTACTGAAGCCAAGGCAAGCTTTGCAACTTGTTGGGTGGGTGGACATATTGCTCTGGACATACAGGTGGCCCTATTGCTCTTCAGGGACATGTGTTTGGACCTAGAAGTCTAAGAATAGAAGGAATTGAACCCAGGGCCTCTCACATGCTAAGCAAGCACTCAGTTCATTTTTTAACCTGGCCACATTCACTTCCCTGGGTATACATTTATCTGATTGTGCAGACTGGGCTGCGTGTGGTGGCACACACCTGTAATCCCAGTGACTAAGAAGGCTCAGACAGGAGGATACAAATTTTAGGTCAGCCTCAACAACTAAGTGAATACCTTAGTGAGACCCTGTCTCAAAATAAAAAAGAAAAAAGACTGGAGGGCTGGAGTTGTAGCTCAGTGGTAGAGCACTTGCCTAGCATGTGTGAAGCACTGGGTTCCATCCTCAGCACCACATAAAAATAAATAAAATAAACGTATTGTGTCCATCTACAACTGAAAAAAAATTATATAAAAAAGGACTAGGGATGTGGTGGCTCAGTGGTAAATCTCCTCTGGGTTCAATTCCCAGTAAAATAATAATAATAATAATAATAATAATAATAATAATAATAATAATAAATGTTTGTGCAGACTGTGGCAGGAACAGAGCATGTTCCAGTGGTCCAGGCAAGAGCGGAAGCTGGGCCTCAATTTCATAAGCACCTAGGTGAGGTCAGGAGCTACATATAGAATCTCCTAAGGCTAACTCCTTCCTTTGTCCCACTGATGTCTGTTCCCAGCAACTCTCCCCAACAGATCTGACCTCATCCACGTGCTCATCTTCTCTGCCAGACTCTGTTCCCTGCTGGGCAAACATCAATGGGTGGAGGTAGAATAAAGGACTGGCCTTGGCATCCCACCAGCCTGGCATTAGGCCAGCATTAGGGCCAGCGAAAGCAGTTCTGTGCCCAAGCCAGATGGCCCCTGATGGAGAAAGCTGCTCCACCACCAGGAGCCTTTTCAGTCCACCTGTGCATCAAAGAGGGTGGATGATGCAGACCCTTTGAAGCAGCACAGAGGCAGAGCTCTGTGGCTCAGAGCTCTCTTCTTCCACTTCCCACCTGGTACCTTGCCCTAGCAACCTAGAACCTATGAAGCTCCTGTCACTGCCAGACTAAACAAAAGGGTGATCTATCTCATACTTATTGCTTAGGGTCTCTTTGAAAAAGGGCAACAGAAGGGGGGAAGAGAGGGGTTCCAAAGAAGAAAGGCTCTCCTCAGGAAGAGCCTCTGGTGGGATCTCCAAGAGTAGATCCAAAAGTCATGGACAAGAAGCTAGATGCACCCTCCAACGCCTCCCTGAAGACCCCATATAAATACATATTTGTCATCCTCACAGTGTGTCCCCCTGGAGAATCAGGGCTTTGTTCTTGGCCGCTACCTCTGTCACTGCCGACCTGGATTCTATGGAGCAAGTGGCTTTGGGGGTAAGTACAGTGAAGACCAGGTAGGTTTTTACAGGCTAGACTGGTGAGGAAACGTGGGAAGGAAAGGCAGTTTGAGGATCCTGAGAGAGAGCTTGTGGGGCAAAAGCAGAAGGTCAGGAGAAAGCAGGGGATGGCAGCAGGATTTTGTGGGGGCATCTGCCTTCTAAGAGTGAGCCTGAACATGTAGGTATGTTGAAAGCTGGCTTCCCAATGAGCCCTAACCTCTTCCTATTACCACTTCCTGGTACCTCTTTCTGGCATCACCTCTTCCTGTTACCCTGCCCTCCCCAGGGAATACCTACTCCCTCGTGTCCCTGGGACCACAGACCATAGGAGGGCAGGGCAACCACCAGGACAGAAGGCTAGGATCTCAGGATGCTCCAAACAAGCCCCTATCTCTGCACCTATTTTGCTCTTTACAGGGTTAGAGGAAAGTGCCACACAGACTACCAGCCAATTTGGGTCTCCACAAGGCAGCTTGGGGAGGCTGCTGAGGTGTCAGCCATGTTCCGAGGGCTGCACCAGCTGCATAGATGCCACACCATGCCTGGCAGAGGAGGCCCCAGCCCTGCGGGCAGCAGTACTGGCCTTCCAGACCTGCTGCATGCTGGCCGTCTTCCTGAGCATGCTGGTCTCCTACCACTGCCGCTGGAGCAAGGCAAGGAAGGCCCTGCCGCTCTCTCCTGCACACACATTCTACCCATCCCTAGTCCAGACATGGGTCTACTTAACACTAGAACTCAGGAGAATGGGCCAGTCTTAATTCTAAACCTAACTCACTATATGACATTAAGCAAGTGACCTCCTTACCTTAATCCTGTTTCCTTACCTGCAAAATGAAGGCACTGAACTTAATTCAGCAAATGCTTGTTGAATATATATGCTAAGCAAATCATTACCTAGGCACTAGAGGAAGTGATCTGGACCCTCCTGGAGCGTCTGGTTAATGGAAGACACACTAAAATAACAGCACAGTGAGACAGGGGCAAGGAAAAGGCTGCTGTCAGTTGCTATGGGAGCTTGGAGAAGGGATTGGTATCCTGCCAAAGATGGCATTGGAAGCACTTTCTGGAGAATGTGACATTTGAGTGAAGCTTGAAGGTTAACTGGATACTTGTTGGGCAGAGAAGGTTTATTCCATTCCAGACAATGGGGCAGTGTGACTCAAAACTCAGAGGTATGCAGGAGATCCTTCCTATCTCCAACAACCTCTGATTTGAGCTCAGAGTGGGACTGGGTGGGGAGCACAGGACTGCAGGAAGCCATGTGAAACCTTGGCCATAGCCAGGCTTAGTGCTGTGCAGCTGAGAGCGTAGGTAGTGGGAGTGCAGATGTGGCTCAGGACAGAGGGTGGAGTCAGTCTAGGGTGAAGCCTTACCCTAGGCCCAGAGTGACCCCTAAACAGACCTACAACCTTCCAACACCATCATCCAGGCTCCATCCCCCCACTGCCCTGCTCACAGGCCTCTCTTTTTCCATGGGTTCACAGAGAATCCGGGCATCTGGAGTTGTCCTGTTGGAAATCATCCTCTTTGGATCCCTGCTTCTCTACTTTCCTGTGAGTCTGTGGCCAGCGGCTAACCCCACCTCCCAGGATCATCCACAGCCCCAACCTGGCACCCTCCAAACCCTAAAAACCCTATTCTCTGCTCTCAGAGGATTCAGAGACCTCCAATTACCCAGGCTGGTCTAGTGAGCTCTGGAGCCAAACAGCCCCAGGCTTAAAAAAGCTCCATGATCTGCTGTGGTGATTTAGGAAAAGTTACTTAACTTCTCTGATACTTAAGCTACTCCTCTGCAGAATGGAGATGATGATGCCTCTATTGCAGGGCTCTTGGGAGGATTAGCCGTGTGTGTTGCACAGAGCCCAGCACAGCAGTAGTGCAGTGCAGAGCAGCTCCTCTTGTTCCCTTCCCACCAGGTCTTCATCCTATACTTCAAGCCCAGCGTGTTCCGCTGCATTGCTCTTCGCTGGGTTCGGCTGCTGGGTTTTGCCATCGTCTATGGGACCATTATACTCAAGCTTTATAGGTAGGGCCCGGGAAGACCTTGCTCTCACACTTCTCTCCTAGGTCACCTGGGCTCATTCGTGCAATGGAGTTTTTCCAAATCAAACCCTTACCAGCTCCACTCTGCTCTGCCCCCATCATTCACCCTCCCCCACATGTAACTTTTTTGGGAAACCATGGAAAGAATAGGACACACAAATGTGTGGCGGGGAGGGCAGCTACAACAGAGGTCAGGGATCTGGCTGCCGTCCTCAGCCCCCAGCTTCCACGTGCGTCCTGACTCTTGCAGAGTGCTCCAGCTGTTCCTGTCTCGCACAGCCCAGCGGGGCCCACACCTGAGCAGTGGGCACCTCCTGCAGCGCTTGGGGCTGCTCTTGCTGCTCGTGCTGGGTTTTCTGGCCATGTGGACAGTCGGCGTCCTGGAGCGAAGCATCCAGCACACACCTTTGGTGACTCGAGGTCACACTCTCACTGGCCGCCACTTCTACCTCTGTCACCACGACCGCTGGGACTACATTATGGTTGTGGGTGAGCTGCTTCTTCTGAGCCCAACCTCACTCTGGCCCCTGGCTCCATACCTCCAGGGTCCTCTTGTGCTGGTCCTCCCACCCTGTGCCCAGACCCTGGGCCCAGGCTCCTCAGCATGCCCTGTGGAGACAGGAGCAGCAAGCTGCTGAGTTGGTGCCACCCTGTCCCTTTCACTGCCCCACAGCTGAGATGCTGCTGCTATGCTGGGGCAGTTTCCTCTGCTACGCCACCAGGGCTGTGCCCTCGGCCTTCCATGAGCCACGCTACATGGGCATTGCCCTGCACAACGAGCTGCTGCTTTCGGCTGCGTTCCACATGGTCAGGTGAGGACAGGCCCAATTACCTGGGTTTCCTCCCACCTTGATGCTACTCCTCCCCTCCCAGGTGAGGGGGCCCATCCAATGATTGTCCTTGCAACACTGCTATGCCACAACAGGATGAGGAAGGGCCCCTCCATACCCCTCCTGCACCCCATGCCTCACCCAGATGAGAGGCAACTACCCAAAAGAAAAGGAAGTTTGTCCCCCTTCTAATTCCTGTCCCCTTCCTAAGCCACCACTCTAGTACCCCCAATATGTACTTTCCAACACACCCTCACTTCTCCCTGCCTTCTTCCTCACTCAGCCACTTGAGCAGTAGGTCTGTTGTATGCCCATGGGGACCTGGCCCTGTGGTAGAGGCAGAATCAACCCACAAGGTGATCCTGACAAGTCATGGAGCATGATTCTGTTCTGCACACTAGGCAGTCTGAGAAGGAGAGCTGGAGCAACCTGGGAGGGCTTCTTCAGAGGTGGGATTAACATGAGCTGTGCCCTGGCCTTCCACTATCTGGGAGAGGGCAGGAAGAAGAGCACCTTCCTCAACCATGGAGCTCTGGGCTGGGGAGAGGAGCCTTCCAGGTGAGGCCAGGAGGCCACGCCCACCTGCACTACAGATCACCCCCCTCCTATTCGGCCCCCAGGTTTGTGCTGGTTCCGTCCCTGCACCCAGACTGGACTCTTCTCCTCTTCTTCTTCCACACCCACAGCACAGTCACTGCCACACTGGCTCTGATCTTCATCCCCAAGGTGAGGTCTTACCCCTCTGCATGAGGCAGACCCCTCCCCTTGATAAGAGCACTGTAGATCTGCCACCACTGCGCCCTCTCCAGGTCAGGGCAAGGATGACAGAAGGTGCTAGAAGTGAGTGAGCTCTGAGTGACAGGGCCCTCGGCAAGGACATGGGTGGGAGGAGAAAGATATTCTCTGCTCCAGTTCTTGGGCAAAGGAAATAAGTGCTAGAGCTGGAGAGGGTCCCTTTATCCACAGGTGGAAGGCTGGTGGCCTCTGAAAATCTGCTTGGAAGTAGTTACAAAGAGGCAGGTGGGGGAGCTGAAGGACATAGCTAAGGATTGCCAAGGCAGGAGGGTGGGATTGCCATGGTCTCAGCTACAGAAGAGCAGAGAGGATGAGGAGGAGTTACATCCTACAGATCCTCAGAATTCCAAATCAGAGGAGGGATGAAGAACACAAAGTAAAGATGTATCCCACAGGGCAGGTGAGAGTAGGAGTCAGTGGGGAGCTACAGTGAGCTGTGCCCTGGCCTTCCACAAGCAGTTACATGAGCATGATCTCTTCCCCCATGCACACCCACCCTGGCTAGTTCCGGAAGTCAGGGGCTCCTCCCCGGGAGGAGATCTTGGATGAGGTATATGAAGATGAGCTGGACCTGCAGCGCTCAGGCTCCTACCTCGACAGCAGTATCGCCTCAGCCTGGAGTGAGCGCAGCCTGGACCCTGGAGACATTAGGGTAGGTACCACCCACCTCCTTAACTTCTTTGATACCAGCTCTTAAGATTGGGCAGAGGCTGGGTACAGTGGTGCAGGCCAATAATCCCACCTGTCTCAAAATACAAAACAAAAAGGGCTGGGAATGTAGCTTAGTGGTCAAGTGCCCCTGGGCTCAATCCCCAGTATGTGTGTGTCGGGGAGCCTGAGCAGAGGTAGCATTGTGTGACACTGTGTGACACTGCAGGTTCCCTCCCCAAAGGTTACCCACCCTTCAAGACTGCCTTCTCCCTTCTCCAACACAGCCCTAAAAACTGACTCTTCTGACTCTATTCAAATGAGGCTATATAGCACCCAAGTAGAAAGACCCAGAACCCAGATCTTGGAGGCCCAGGCCCAGGCCACGCAGCAAACTGGAGGCACAACTGAGTGGAGCCCTAATCCTTCTTGTCTTCATCATGGTGGGCAGATAAGAAACCCCTTGGTACCCAGCAAAGCAGGCTGGTTGGTGACCTAAGGGTCAGCTGTGGGGTTGGGCAGTTCAGGCAATGAATGGCCATCAGGATTTCCACACCAGAATCCCTTCCCTGGACCTGGTAGATCTTGAAAAAAACAAAGTTCTTTCTGGGCTTATCCTGGAAGATCATTCTACTCTAATTTTTCTGCTCAAGGAGAGCATTATATGCACAGGAACCATAAGAAGAGGCTTGGTGGGGAGGAAACAAGGAGACCCAGGGATTTTATAAAACCTAAGGTACAGGAGCCATCCTGGGAAACCATTTTGTCCACCCCTTCCACTCCACCGAGGCCCACCTACACTTTACTTGTTTATAGTCTTGCAAAGGAGAATCTTCCACCTCTTCACTCCCTTCTTATCCAACTGCCTCTGCCTGTTTCCCCATGTCCTCGTAACCTTTTCAGCTTCTGACCCCTCTCAGGCAAAGACTGAGCTCAGACTCCCATCGAGCTGGGAGGTCAGGGAATGTAGACATGCTTTGCCACAACCATGCCACACTCGGCTTCCTACTTTATGGAACATAAGTGTGCTCCCCTTGTGCTGGCTCAGGGGAGAAACTGAGCATAACAGACATGCAAAGCCCCAGTTCCATCATTTCTATCTAAATACAACATTTTCTGATGCACTAGTTCCATCAAGCTCATAATCCTCTTAAGGACAAAAACACTGGTCAGTCAGGTAGCATCACTTTTTAGAAGATGCAAAGGCTCAGAGACGTCAAGAAAATAGCCTTAAGGCCCAAATGGGTTAGCAGTGTCAAATCCATTTTCTGTTCACCATGTTGGTAATTTCCCACCAGATCACAGTGCCCCAGAGAATGGAGGGCACTCTAATCCCTGGGTATTTAATGGATCCAGCTCAAAGCAGATTGGTACTGGTCTTGTAGGAATGGAGTGGTGAATCTCAGAGTCTTAGAAGTAGGGAAGGGACATATTATATTTAATGGAAAAGAGATGCCCAAAGAAGTCTAAATAAGGACCAAGGGGGAGACCAGCCAGGGATTGCTCAGTCTGTACATCTCAATAACAGCTCACTGACAGGTCTGCTCTCCTTGTTCCTTTCCTCAGAAGGAGCTGAAGAAGCTCTATGCCCAGCTAGAGGTCCACAAGACCAAGGAAATGGCTGCTAATAACCCCCACCTGCCCAAGAAGCGTGGCAGCTCCCGCCAGGGGTTGGGCCGCTCCTTCGTGAGGTACCTGGCTGAGTTCCCTGAGGCCCTGACCAGGCAACACTCCCAGGATTCAGGCTCCCTGGGCCATGGCAGCCTGCCTGGCTCCTCCCACCATCAGCTCTGCGGTTCTAGCCTGCAGGAAGCAGAAGGGCCACCAGCCCTGCCCAAGTCCTGCAGCACCTATGACCACCAAAGGGAGCAGGACCCACCTCTCCTTGACTCCCTGCTGAGGAGGAACCTATCCAAGAAGGCCCCTCGGGTGGAGAGCAGGGAGTTGATGGAAGGGCCCTCTGCCCTGGGCTACAGGTCAGCCAGTGCCCATAACCTGATGGTTGGAGAGAGGGTCCCCAGGACGCGGCCCACTTCCCTGCAGAAGTCCCTCAGTGTTGTAGCTGGCTCTAGGGAAAAGGCCCTGCTTGTGGCCAGCCAAGCCTATTTGGAAGAGACCTACCTGCAGGCAAAGGAAAGAGAGGAGCAAAAGAAGGCCGAGGCAGCCATGATGAGCCCAGCGCAGAGACCATCAGCAAGGAGGCTGGAGCCGGCTCGAAGGGCCCCCCTGTCAGCTCCACCCTCCCCTGCCAAGAGCAGCAGCGTGGGCAGCTCTCACATCTCTGGGAGGCTTCATGAAGAGGCTGGTAGGAAGCTGCCTCACCCACCCATCAGGCACCAGGTCTCCACACCCATCCTGGCCCTGTCTGGGGCCTGCCTGGGAGAGCCAAGAACGCTGTCTCCCAACTCCACTCTGACTCCAGCTCTGATGCCACCTCTGGCCCCAACCCCTACCCCTGCCCTGGCACCAGTGCCAGTATCCCCACAAAGCCCCAGCGTATTCACCTACATCTGCCCCTGGGAGAATGAAGAATTGCCAGTCAAGAAAGAAAATGCTGCCCAGGAAGCTCCCTCAGAACCTGAGCGAGGCAGCCACTCCCCCGCCCTAGCCACAGCCAGGCTCTGGAGGGCTCTCTCTGTTGCAATAGAGAAAAGGGGAGCTGGGGAACCTGAGATGAACACAGAGGAAGGGTGTCTCCAGGGGGAAGCTGATGATGTGGGTGGGGACAGGCCCAAGATCTCTAAAGCCCACAGCCTCAGGACCCCTGTGCAACAGGCCTCCATGCGCAGCCTAGGCCTGGCTATCAAAGTGCTGACCCGTTCTCGGAGCACTTACAGGGAGAAGGAGAATGGGGAGGAAAGTCCAGAAAGGGATAAGGACAAGGCTCCAGTGGAGGGTGCAGGGGCTTTCCCCCGGTCTCCTAGGCTGGGGCAGCCCAAGGCAGTGAATAAGCAGGCTGCCCTGGCCCCCTGCAATGATGAAGAGTCCCTCCAAAACCAACAGAATGCCCACACCAGCAGAATGCTCCAAGTCCAGCAACAGGAAGGCAGCAGAGAACAAGAGGACAGAGGCAGAAGGACATCCCAGGGTCTAGGGGAGCAGAAAGTTGAGAGAACGGGTGAAATAGGGCTTGCCATACTTAGGCAAGTTTCCAAGGACAAAAATGCTGAACAGGCAAAGGCAGCCCCTGTAGGGCGGCTGGAACGGCCTAAAGCTGGCCTCCACCCCCTGGACAGTGCTGACTTCACAGTGCCGGAGGTATGTCCCTGGGAAGTCACTGAGTCACCAACATGTCAGCTAGACAGTAACAACAAGGTGGAAATCTGCCCCTGGGAGGTGAGTGAAGGAGCCCCTGAGAGGGAGGCAGTAATGCAAGAGCTTGAGGACGCCCATGAAGAGAGGGGCAAAGTCCCAGAAAAATCAGAGTCCAAAAGAGTGACTGTCTTCGCGCGGAAAAAGCCAGAGAGGCTGGTGAGGGGCCAGGAGGCAGTGTGTCCTTGGGAGAGTGCCAATCCTGGAGGTCTGTCCCCTCAGTCAGTCCCTCAGGACTCTGACAGAACCAGGGGCAGGTCTGAGGCAGTGGGCAGTGTGGAGGCAAGGAAGGCAGAGAAGGACCCCAAGGAAGACATGGACCCAGAGGCTTGTTCACCTGACACTGCCAAGGAAGACCTGTGCTCCCAGAAAGAAAGTGAAAGGGAGGGGAAAATGGCCCAGGAGGTGATGGCGCTCCCCCAGGAAAGGCAAAAAGCTCCCAAGAAAGCAGCCTTCTGGAGAGAACAGAAACTGGGTGGAGATCTGCAGTCTTTTTGTCCGTGGGAGAGTACAGACTTCCGGGGTCCCTTGGCAGTCTCACTTCAGGTCCCAGAAAGTCTGGGCAATGGTATTGCAGAAGTGTGTCCATGGGAGGCAGGAGATTCACCTGCTATCAAGAAGTCAGAGATCTGTCCCTGGGAGCTAGGTGATGCGCTCCCAGGGAAGGAAGCACCAAGTCAGGAGGCAGGAGGAGAATCTCTCCAGGAAAAGAAGAAAGCCCCCGGAAAGGGGAGCTCAGGAGAGATGGGGGAACAAACTGTGAAGGCTATGCCGGCAGTAAGTCCATGGCAGGAATCAGTGTGTCCCTGGGAGGGCATAGCCCCTGTACAGTCTAGCCCATGTCCAGACATCTCCTCATCCAAAGCTGGTGACCAACTCTTAAGCAATGGGAACAGCAGAACAATGCAGTTGGGTCCATGGGAAGCTCTTAAGCCAGAGAAAAAGGGAACAACTCCTGCCACAGCAGAAATCTGTCCCTGGGAGGTAAATGAAACACAAGACTGGACATTGGGACAGGTACCAAAAAAAGGAGAATCTCAAAAGCACAAGGGGAAAATGCTTGAAAAAGCAGGAATCCCCCAAGAGGTCACAGCATGGGAAAAGCTGGAGGCAGTCTGCCCCTGGGAGAGCATGGACCCTGGTAGCTTCCCCCTACAACCAGGTGCTCAAGGCACAGAGAGACCCCAAACTATTTTCCAGAGGTCAGGCAGTGTAAGAAGCAAAGCTGCTGAGATCTGCCCATGGGACATGGAAGAGACTCTGGCAGCAGAGAAGACAAAGATCTGTCCCTGGGAAGTAGGTGCTGGAGCAGGAAAGGGAAGGGCTTTGGAAGTTGAGGCCATTAGGAAATCACCAAAAGATATAGGAAAAATGTCTGCAGATTCTGTACCCAAGGAGAGAACAGTTACTGATTCAAAGAAGCCACAGAGTCCAGGCCTGGAGGTTGCCTGTCCATGGGAGAGCTCGAGTCCAGGAGGCTCCTGTCAGAATTCAGACACTCTGGACACTGATGGACCAAAAGTTCGACTCCAGGAACTGGACGGTGTGGGCTGCAGGCCAGCTGAGGTATGTCCCTGGGAAGTAGAAGAAGCCCTCACTCATGCAAAAGCCAACATCTGTCCCTGGGAGGTGAGTGAAGGAGCTACTGGAAAGGGACTGAAGCAAGAGACGGGGAATGAATCAGCAGGGAAGAGGGAGAAAACTCTAGAAAAGGAGAGACTCACTTTCCCTAGAGAAGGCATAGCAAAATGGGAGGCAAAACACCATCAAGAACAGGAAGTTATTTGTCCTTGGGAAGAAAAAGACTTGAGGGAACCATCTGCTCAGACCTCCAAGGTCTCAGACTTGTCCAGCAACACTAGTAGTCAGGTGGCAGAGGGATATTCCTTGGAAGTGAGTGATGAAGCAACACAGAAAGGGGACCTGAGACAAGACCCAAGGACAGACTCCCTCCCAGAACACATGACTCATGAAAAAGCTCAAGCTTCAAAAGCAGAATTCATTACTGAAGGTGGAAGAACAAGCAACCAACTATCATCCATCTGCCCATGGGAGAGCATGGTGCCAGCAGGCTCTTTCTTGCAGCAAGACCGTCAGCACCCTGACCAACCTACAGCCAGCTCCCAGAGTCTGCTCAGTGCTGGGAGCAAGGTCGCTGAGGTATGTCCATGGGATGCTCCTGATCCAGATGTGTATAAACCTGACAGCAGCTCCAAGGCCGAGATCTGTCCCTGGGAGGTAACTGAGAAAATCCCTGAGAAAGGGTCATGGAGACAGGATAGAAAGAGGGAATCTCAAGAGGAGGGAAGAGCCCCAGAAAAACTAGAGCCCAAAGGTGTGACAGTCCAGAAAACATCAGAGATAGCTGACTTTGAGAAGCAGGAGGCTGGGGAGAGCCAAGATTTGGGGGGTTTGTCTTTACAATCAGACCCACATGCTTGTGACAGAAGCAAAGGCAATTCTGAGACAGCAGGCAGAGTGGGGGCCAGGGTGGCAGAAGTGTGTCCGTGGGAAGTGGAAGAGACTCCCTCTGCCAAGAAAGCAGAGATCTGCCCTTGGGAGGTGGGTAAAAAAGCAGCAGGGAAAGGGGAACTAGAGCAGGGGATGAGCAGAGAACCACAAGGGCAAGGAGAGGTGTTCCTTGCAAAGGCAGAATCTGGAGGGACTGAAGGACATTTTTCAAAAACAGCAGCAAAACCTGGCAAAGAACAGCTGACAGTCTGCCCTGAGAAAGGCACAGGATCAGGAGGGTTCTTCCCACAGCAAGATGCTCTAGACACCAACCAACCCACAGTCAGTCCCCACAGAGCAAGCAGCATGGGGAGTAGGATAGCAGAACTGTGTCAATGGGAAGTAACAGATCCGGAAGGAAACAAAATAAAGGGCATCATGGCAGACATCTGTCCTTGGGAGGAAACTGGAGCCCTGTTGGAGGAATCTGGCCTCCTGGCTTTAACAGCAACTCAGACAGAAAATTTCCCCACAGCTCCTGAAAAATCATCATGCCTTTTAGTTCATAGACCTCTGGAAAGGTTCCTTTCAGAGAGCAAGAGCTCCCACCCCAAGGTGAGCAAGCCAGTCAGTACTCTTACTCTAGGAGGTATCAGAGAACCACAGGGACCTTCAGGACTTGGGCCAAAGACCTGCTTAGGCACAGAATCAAGTCTCCAAGAAGGTGAGGCTCAAAGGTCTTCTTCCTTAATGGAAGACCATAGACAAGTAGCTTCTGAAGCTCAAGATGAAGAACTCACCCCTCTTGTCTATCCTTGGGACTTGGAATAAGCTCTGTCAGGTGAGCTCAAACAGACCTAGGCTTCAGGAACCAAAGTCCTTTCTAAATCTTAGTGTTTCCAAAGAGCTGAATCAAAGATACTTGACCACTTCTAAGAAGGCCAAAGGTCCACTCATTCAAAATACAACTATACAAGAAGGGTTCAGCTCAGATCCCAAGGAAAGTCCCACCCATTCTTTGCTTTTAACTTTTCTTCCTGATTGAGGATACAAAGGCTGGACCCTCTACTTCCAGAGACTCCTCCCCCCCACCCATCTAACATACTTGACACAAGCCACTGGAGTGTTACTGATAAAAAGAAGTCAGCAGTGCCCAGAATAGGGAAACTTAATTCTCTGGAGTCTATAAAAGGGTGATTTTTTTAAGAAACAAAAACCACCCAAGGAGTTGGCAACACAGGGACTGTGGAGCCATATAAGGTTATAAAGTCACTCTATGCAGCTTCAGAAGGTACTTAATTCAAATTGAGAGATAAACTGGGGGAAAACTAAAAGGACTCAAAACAGGTGCCTAAAAAGCCTTAAGGACCTTGTCTTTTGTCTCTGAATCTCCCATTTCTTCTCTCTACCCTGCCTGACTATTGAAGTAGAGACAATCAGGTACTCTTCCTTCCATGCCAACATCTGGCATCCAAAGTGACATCAGACAAAGAGAATAGAAAAGGAAAAGCAATTTCTCCAGGTCCTCCCCACAGTGGGAGGTACAGATATCCTTAGTATGCCTCTTGCTAGCTTTCTTGGGTGACCTCCTCCTCTTCCTGACCCAGCTCTTGCTGATCTTCAGAGCTCATCTCACTGGTTCATTCAGTGCTCTCCTCCTAGCCTTTCAGCACTATCACTATCCCCTCTTTTGCCAATGTAACTGGAAACAAAGGAGAAACTGTGGTTCTGATGCAAGAACTACTTCAAATCACTTACTCAGTAACAAGAGGCCACATCAATCTCCTTCCCAGAGGAGCCCTACAAAGGAAAGAGGTCATTTATAGCCAGCATTCCCAACGACTTCTGCACTCAGAAAGAGCAGAACTCCAGGGCAAGTCAGAAGCCAGGATTGAGAAATGGCCTGGTGTTAGGACAAAGGCTACTTTCTTAGGCAGCTCTTTCTTAGCTCTCTCAACAGTCAGAGCTCAGGCTACTCTTGCTTAAGCAGTGCTAGATAACAAAGTGCTGGGATTAGATGATACTACCAAAGGAAAGTGAAGAAGAAGAAAAACATACCAAGAAGTTCTGGAATTGGCAGAGGTGAGGTGGGGGTGGAAACTGGCAGGCTAATGTGGCAAAACTGTCCGTGGCACTCAAGATGGCAGTAAGCCCCAATCTCCAACAGTACAGGTATGGATGTCATTTATGGGGAGAAAAGACAAAACAAGACCAAATATCCAGGAGGAAAACAATGAGTTTGCATGTAAAGATTCTGGGTAGTTATAGTTTCCAGAAAAAGTAGCAAAGTTCTCCATTTCCAAAAAGGAGCAAAGGAATAGAGTAACTTCCCCTTCTTTGGGGTTCAGAGGCCTTTGTTCCCATATGGAGACCCTCCCACTTACCCTGGATTTTACAGTAGTAACTTAAGTATGTTGTTACTCCGTGTCCTGGCTGCTTAACCCCACAGCTTCAGAGCTTATGTGGACTTTGCCAACTGTGCACCCCAGAGCAATTCTATTGGGTGTGGTCTAGCTGGAAAAGCAAAGTTGCCCCCACATTCAATTTTGTGAAATAAACCATGGGGAGAAGGAATAAAAAATGCTTTTTCTCAACCACTGCAGTTGGCTCCAGCTTATTCCTAATGGTGATTTTCTTTTTCAACAAAGGAACAACAGATAGATAAGGTAAAACAAGGCCTGCTCCAAAGTCCAGGGTAATAACACTACAGTCTACAGGACTTCAGGTCATCTGACTAATTCTCTACCAGTATCCAGAAATGTAGCTGACACTGCAGATGGTCTCTGCCTGATCCTTCTAGTCAACCCTTCACATCTGGACCATTCGCTAGCTGGATTTGATCCCAAAGGGAAATGAAAATTGCACTTATCCTCTGGCTCCCCGGTGGCAGTTATTGCTTGGATGCTATTTAGGATTATCTAAAGACCCCCCAAGACAGATCAAGGGGAATATGTAAAACTGAAACATTGTTTTTACACATTCAAGAGAAACCAATGTAACTTTTACCCATTAAATGTGCTTTTTTTTGTTTCTCTGCTTCCCTCTCCTGTCAGGATTACATCCCCTTCCTCCGAATGCCCCAGCTATGGATCCTGTTCAAAGCACTTCTCATTTTGCCTTAATCCAGGGCTCAAGCAAATAGGATGCAACCAAACCTCACTTGGGCAGTAATGCTGCAAAGTGATGTACATTTTAAGCCAAAAGGGTCAAGACTAAGTAGTGAGATGAGAGTGGCTGCTTTGTATTATCCCATCAATGCTGTTTCCCCTCTAAGCATATACGACGATTTCTACCATCAGCACTTAAAAGCTGTTGAAAAAACACCAGTTTTGCCCAGTAAGACCTGGTCTGTTTGCTGCTTTGCTGAAATGATAGTTAGAGAGACTGAAAAATAAGTTATTTATTTTTGACCTGATTCCAGCTTCTATGGACTGTACTTTCAAGACAAGATCAGAACAGCTTATTTCTTAGTTTAAGTGATAGATAGGATGGGAATGCAGAGTGCTGGCCTAATATGTGTGAGGCCCTAGGTTCGATCCCTAGTTCTGAAAAAAAAAAAAAAAAAAAAAGTAACAGACTCCTTAAAAAGAAACTTCTATGCTTGAAAAAGAGAAAATGTGAGAATTAAAGGCCCCATTTTTAAAGAGGAACCCATGCTGAGCTGATGAAAGCAACAGCACTATGAGCCAAGCTTACTGCTGGGCAAGTGAGATTTGCCTTGTCATTACTCAGATGACCCAGGACACAGAGCATATGAAGTCCCACATCCTTCTCGTAACAGCCCAACTGGAGCTAAGGAACAAGGAAGGGTGGGGCTGTTTTATTTGACACAGGTTTGTTTTCTGGTGCATTTAACTTCCCAATTCTGGGCTGGAAAGAATAGCTGCCATCTCCAGGAGGTGCTAGAAATCAGGGAACCAAGTCTTACTGATGAATTCCCCAAATGTACTAACCCTTCTGTGCCCTTGCCTCCTCCCAAACTTCAAGGGGTCACACCAGGAAGCAGCTACTAATTAGGAACACAATCCAGGGGCTGGGGATGTGGCTCAAGCGGTAGTGTGTTCGCCTGGCATGCGCGCGGCGCTGAGTTTGATTCTCAGCACCACATACAAATAAAGATGTTGTGTCCGACGAAAATTAAACAAATAAAATATATATATATATAAAAAAAGAAAACAATCCAAAAGCTAAGGAATAAATTATTTTTTTATTTATATTCTTCTACAAAGTATAAATGCTAATTCAGTAAGTCACTCTATGAGAAAAAGACCCTCTTAAGTGATACCCAATTTTATGAACACTAATTATTCTCCCAAGTCTGGATTTCCTAGAAGTCAGACCACTCACAACTAGGCTTATCTTCCACTTCTCCACTTGAAGCTTGGCCTATTCCCCCAGTTGAATCTCAACTGGGGAAAATATACAGAACCCACAAAAAAAAAAAAAAAAAAAAAAAGAAAGAAAGAAAAAATGAAACCAGGGGTGAACTAACCATTGAGCTACATCTCTAGTCTTTTTCTTTTTTTGTTATGAAACAGGATCTTGTTAAGTTGCCTAGGCTGGCCTCAAACTTACAATCTTCTTGCCTCCCAAGTCACTGGGTTTACAGGTGAGTGTCACCACACAAGGCACAACACCAAAATTTGTCCAACACTCTGGTAGTATTTTATTTCAAACTCTGATCTCTGCCCAGTGATTACAAAAGAATGTTGCTTATTAGCTCCCACAGTCTCTGCTGTGAAAAAAAGTACAGATGTTTGTTCAGTGAAACATATTGTCTTTCATCTAGACTCAGAAGCTAGACATATGATTTTAAAAAGAAAAAAGGTCCATGTCTATGCATACTAGCAAACGACCTGGGCCCAGCCATCAGACATGGTTGTAAGGATGAATCTGCTCAAAAGATCCAAGCAGGGCAGGAGGAAACAGGAGTGGTCTGAAAGAGATGGATGACTTCACAACGTCCAGAATCATCATCACCAGTGCTTTACCCCAAGAGTCATTTTTGTCGTCAGGCTAGCTGAGACTTATGGTTCTCTCTTTGTTCCTCTTCACATTTTTCCCAAGATTCCAGCTGGGGGCCAGGAATCATCACCGTCTGAAAGATAGTAGGCTGAGTTACCTGCCAGCCAAGACCATGGCTTACCCAGAAGGCTTCATCCCTGCCTCTACCCATCCCATAACAAAGAGTTCCTCTTCTCCACTGTTGAATCTTTCCCTCTCTCCTTAGGTGGAGCCCAAGAGGACTTAGGATGCCCAACTATCGACTGAGGTCTCTTTTTCCTCTGTGGCGCTGGGGATAGAACCCAGGGCTTTGTACATGCTTGGCAAGGGATCTACTTATGAGCTATACCCCCAGCCCCTGCCTCAGGCCTCTTAAACTGTACAAGCTTCCTTACCTTAAGGATGGGCTGCTTTGGGGGTGCCCATGGGGGAACAATCTTGCCATGCATTCTCCAACTCCCGTAGGGGTTCAGCAGGTGTTTTTCAAACACAATATACTCCAAGACATCCTTGGGTACATCTTCTTGTCCATACATCAACCGCCCAAACCGATCATAGATGGCTAGAGTCTGTAAGGATGAAAACAAATCTGGCATGTTAGGTTTTTTTGTTTTGTTTTCCTTTGTTTTGCCAGACAACCATTTTAGAAATAATCTTAACAAGAATTTTTAAATTTTCAAAAAAATTTTTTTAAATATCAGAAGTTGAGGGCTGGGCTTATAGCTCTGGGGCAGAATGCTTGCCTCATACTTATAAGGTACTGGGTTCAATCCTCAGCACCACATAAAAAATAAATAAAACAAATAAAGATATTGTGTCCATCTTTA